GCAGCAGCCCTGGACTAATTAAAAGATTATCTTTACCTTGCTCCCACAATGAGCTGGTTCCTGTTGGCATCCAGTGCAAGCTGAGAAAAGTCATGCACACCTGGATAGGTGAAATTCGACATCCAGGGCTTCAAATCTGCAACGAAAATGAGAAAGCAGAAAACAATAAAGCTGCTCTAGAAACAGTGAGTTCACCCGGACATCCACTAATGGATTTCCTACCAAGTTATCTGTCAGGGGAAGGGTAATTAATAATCTATTTAAAGGGTTTCTATTTATTCAGACTCTCTGCAGAATGTGCAAAAAACCGTACATAAATGCAGGACTGTCTCAGCAGTTATTTTCACATCCAAGACAGAGTGTCAGCATTGGTTTTGAAGACAACAGCAGCTCAATTTTACTTCTGTTAAAACTAGGGAACCGTCTTCAGTGCCAGGGTTAAGCGACGTAAAGGGACTACGTTGCCCTGTTAACACCTCATAGCTTTGCCTTCTGTGCTAAGCAAAGAGAAACTGCTGCCCTCCAGAAAGAGAAGGTGGAGTCAACTGACTGAAAAGCAAGTTAGAGTAGCAGTGATCTGCACTCAAGACCGTGCTGCTTCAATGACAGATTTTACCTTCTCTTCTAGGTTTTAGATTCTCTTCTAGGTTTCGCTTTACCTAACATCTGGGATCCCTATCAGTTAAATCCTTCCTCAGTTTAGATGAGGGGTGTCATCACAGCATCTTTGTGGCTCAGAGATTGCACAAGCTTGAGACTGGCTCTATCAAGTAGCTTGGATTTGCCAATCTAGGCACCTGTCCAAGCTGCAATCACACAGGTTAAATGTAAAACAATAGATTCGACTACACTATGCTCATGCAGACAAAACTATTCCAGAAGCTACATCTGTTAACACGACATCAATGGAGAGATCTAGACCAGATAGTCCTGATGTAATAAAAAATACACCTGATTAAAGAAAAAGTGGAATTACTATTTTTAGGGTACTTTCAGGCATGATGCCAGTGCATTCATAGAATCCCAGCTTTCAACATAGTTACCACCTTCGACCTTGTGTGTATCACAGATCACAGAATTTCAGTCTCTCATTTTATACCTTTAATGCATGAAATAACTGTGGATAGATTAATATGTATCTTTCAGAAAGTCATCCAGCTTTACTGCGAGGACTTCTCCTGTGAATTTATTCCAACTGTTAACTACTCTGGCTGTTAAATACATGGAGAATACCAAATAACTGAGGGAGCAAGGCACAAATAAAACCAAATCAGTATATCCATAATCCCCCTGTGACCTCCTGACAAGTAATCCTGCCTCACTCAAGGACTCGATACTGAAGATGCAGGAGGCTCAAAATGGCCTCATGCCAACAGGATACTAATACACAGGCCAGTGACCTGATGACTCATAACAATAATGATGCAGTTCAGACCAGTTCAAAAGAGTTCTGAAAAAACACGCTCCATTGTCATTTTATATCCCCAATGATAAATTGAGAAGTCTCACTGAAGGCAGTCAGGTTTGAATGTTTTGTTGTAGGCATTAGTTCCCCTTTCCACAGGGCTGAGATGATAATGCTGATGAGGAATCTCACTAAGGCCTTTGGCATCTTGGCATGCTTTGTAGGATTATAGATGTGCAACGGTCTAAAACTTTTGACATAGGGATATTTGTTGAGTAATTTCAAGTCCCTTCTCCCTCCAGGGATGGATGAAACCTAATCAAGCCTTTCAGTTATCAAAACCTGAAGAAAATACATATAAAACTCCCTACGCTCCGCTTCTTCTGCCTCCCCTTCCAAAGGAGAACCTTGTTGTGGAGCTTCTGCCTCTGCACTGAACACCACCATGTTTCATAAAGCTCCTGAGCCCCCTCACCATGGAGCTGGACACCATCAGGCCTGGTCCCATGCCTGACTTAACTGGACACTTCCAGGGCCTGTCCAACAATAGGACCTCCATCCTTGCCATCTAAAAAGCCTGCTGACAGGAGCTGGAGGCTTACACCCTTCTCAGCATTCCTGTCACACTGCATAACCACACACAACACGTGTACCTCCTCTACTCTTCAGTGAAAAGGCATGAGTTAAGGAATAACTCAGCCCATCTAACCTTCAAGCATCTCCACCTCCTACACTCCTCTGGGACCCTTAATGATGTACTAGCACCAGGGAGGCACCGCAGTTTCACCTCTGGCATTCTCCTAACTAATGGGGCTCTGTCTTCTCTTCCTGTAGCTCTTTAGCTGCAGAGACATTTCTGAGTCAAGCAGCAGAACCAGTAACAATAACAAGTTAGCCCGCTGACATGTGCTGCAGATCTGGCATTTCTGTTGGCTGATGGGGGTGGGATTAGGGGATTGCTATATAATGATGATACCTTTTAAGGATCCTGCTTTTAGGCCATAATTTCTCTTGTCATTTTACCTCCTCTCCTACCAGCTCTTTCCTACTAACTAACCCACTATTACAGTGCAGTAGCAGGAAGAATATTTCTTCATCTGCTGCTCTAAGCAAAAGCTCCTCACTTCAGAGAGGTACACTCATCAGTTCTTCCTTTTAATGGCAAGCTCTGACAAATTACAGGTAAAAATAATTAAAAAAAATTAAAGGCAGTAGGTGTCTTGAATCTTTCTATGTTGGCTTAAATGTCAATCAAGCCCAAGAAATAACAGGCAGTGTCTTGATTTCTATTACTACTGCAGGTGGTACAACTCATAAAGAAACCCTTCCCAGTTATTAAATTAAGGGCTGCAAGGCATGCATCCTCACAGCAAAATTAAGCTTTTATAGGCATGTAGTTGGAGATTATTAAACCCAGCATGGTCCCAGTTAAGAATGTCTAAATGTGAGTTGTCAGAATTAATGACAAACGGCACATTTTCCTTCCCAACCCTCTTTCTTTCTGTTAAGAGGGAAGGGATAAAGTGGAATGGAAATGCAACCAAGAGTCAGGACATGGGTCTTTTTTCATTCAACACATTCAAATTTACCACTCAGACCACAGGCATCCCTAAGGACTTTTCCAGCCTTTCACTCTGAAACCAGCTCAGTTCTGCAAGGTAAGTGCTGGATCCATCCCATATTAGCTGAAGTTTACACATATGGACCCAATGAACTTCAGAGTTTGCTTGTATTTGACCTTTCTCAGAAGGCTGATTTTTCCAGTGCTGACTCTTTAATTTGGCTGGAAACCTTCAGTACTGGGGCATGTTTACATTTGCAAAAGTATCTGTTTAAAAACAGTATGAAAAATTAAAAACCAAGGGCTGGCTTTGCATGTCGGCAGCAGGAGCCGGAAAGCAAGGAACCACGTGGCTTAGGGGCAAAATGTTCATCAAGGCCTCCTTTGTGCTTCTCATCTCTAATCATTTCCAGGGGGTTAAAGATCCATGCTCTCACTTCCTCCACATGAGGACCAACGAACAAAAGTTTAATAGTTTCCAACACGATCCAGCACCAGACATCTGATTCAGAGCCTCTAAAGCTCTGCAAGTCCCTCCACAGCTCAAGGTGGCTCAGGTATCCAGCTGCGAAGAAGACAAAGCTTTGCAGGAAATGTAAGTCTGCAGACACAGCTGTGCTCAGGCTATTATGCATGCATAAGACAACGTGAAAAGAGGCCCTCTGCCATTTCAGAGGGTGGTCCTTGCAGTCTGCTAGCACACTGCTCTGCGCCGGCTTCCTGAGAGTACAGGACTGGGACAAGGATTAGTCAGCTGCACAAAGGACAGCATGCCAAATTGCAGGAGCTGGGTTTAAAGGCCTGATCCAGAGACTCCTTAAATCATTGGCGGTTTTCCACTGAGCTTGATGGGTTTTGGATCAACTTCTAAAGATGTGGTAAACCTGGTAATACTTGAGCCTTCATCTCCTCAAAACCAGCTGCTCCCTACCTCACCCTTCACTGTGTGTTTTGGAGGAAAGAAGTATGTAAACACTGAGTTGAGACTTCCCTGTCTCAACTCAGGACAGCATTTACTGCTTCATCTCACTTGAGCCCACTTGTAGCTCCCATCTCCATCAGTCTCTAACAGCTTTGTGCATCCAGGACAGACCAAGCAAGAGCAGAGAGGTTAAATGCCCGTGCCTTGAAATTGCAAAGCCACTGCTATGTGCACAGAGCAAGGCTAACCACTGTGTTATTCAAGAACATCTCTTCCGGAATAATTCTCAGTGTGGATTTCCCAGTCTGGAGCAAAAGAAACCTAACTAAACAGGACCAAGGATTCTTTGTGCAAAATAAGGGTATACCCACATATACAGACTCACCTTCCTAGGACTGCAAAGAAAACCTTCAAAGTATCATAAAAATAAATTAAGGGAGGAAGACAGGGAAGTTGAACAAGAAAGACGATTCAGAGGGACCTCATTCCAGAAAATACAACCTGAACCACATACGTTACATAAAGCCCCTGCAAAATAAGCTGATTCAACAGTAAGGGCTTGTGCAACGGAGCATACATACAGCTCTGGGGGCCTGCCAAACTCAATGGGAATAAATAAATACCTGTTCTGCAGATATTCAGACCTACTTTTGTGCAGTGTTAACTTGGCCACACATTGAGTGTTTCCCTTACTGCTTTGTTATGATATCTTATAAGTTATCTTAACTCAGCCTCCAGTTCATGAAACATTTAATTACTGTGTGTGAGTATTTCAGCATTCATGGGGAGGCCCAGGTGATAGCCATGACTTCTGTAACTGTACAACCTCCTCTCCTTTTGGTTTACCTCCCTCACACAAGGCAAACCATGTTTAGCTACTGGCAGATACTACAGTTTGCAAGTACTCAACCTCTTAGGTCTTTTTCAGATCACCCACTAGCCTGGAGGACTCCCAGTGGTGGATCTCAACCAAGAGATGCAAATCGCTTTGTAACATAACATAAGGTCTCAGGCTGTCTTCTTGGTATAGACTGATGAAATGTCCCCTTTCCAGAATCAGACATACCATCTCAGGTCCTCCTCTGCTACAATTATCCTCAGTATTCAGAGCATTTTTCATGAAGTAGACAGTTGCCTGCTAAGACTGAGGCCACAGTTTCCATTCCGTGTGGGCCACTGACCAGCACCCTTCAGAGACAAAGTAAACAAGGCTGTAACCAAAGACCAGAAAGCTAATGACTAGCCATG